TTAGAAAGGGCATGCACTCAGGGTAACGGTCACACTTGCCAAAACTAAAGTCCATCAAAGGAGCCACTGTCTTAGCCCTTAGTAGAAAAGGGAGTACGTGACGCAAAACCCAATGCATCATGTAATACTCTCTTAATACCATATTGTTATTTAAAAAACTACAAATATATAAGACGTCTGTTGTATGGGACAGTAAATTTGCACATCCATCGACCCGTTTGTTACTCGTCTCATTTATTATTTGATCTTGCCGACGACTTCCGGTCAAACCACCACAGAACAATTTCAACATTTATATAACGTATTGTAGCAGTGCTCAAACGCGATTCGAAATAACCTCAGATTAATGCAAGAGAAAATTGGAAACATCGCTGCATTTTCCATAGTATTTCATGTAAATATAATAAACATTATATCGAGTAAAAAATATAAACAAATCTAAGAAAAAAATTCCAAAAACAATTCAAATACACATTCTTCAAATATAACTAACTACAAATTTAATCAACGATCAATACACGTTCAGGACGCGTAACTACTCGACTATGACAGTACACATTAGTATTCTGTAGTAGTCACCGTGGCTCAAGCGGTAGCGTCCGCGACTCTGAGGCGTTATGTCGAGGGTTCGCGCCCCGTCACGGTCTGAGGTTAGCAAGGGCATACGCTCAGGGTAACGATTACATCTGTCAAAACAAGCCCTTCGAAGGAAGGCAACCGTCCTAGCCCTTGGTAGAAAAGGGAGTCCGTGACGTAAAACCAGATATGTGATATCACCGATTTCCTTTAATTCTGACAATAACTCCCAAATACAGATCGTAAAGGGCTAAACAGACGATTAATATTACTGACAGTATTTCCCTGTACTGTCATTATTACTGTCGGTGTCCATCATATGGACGTAGTAGTTCACACCAATAGAATAGTGTCAGTATTTTTACTGACAGTAATAATGATCGTCTGTACCCCCATTAAAGAATTCCTCACGTCATTCTCTTATATTCTTCTCCTAATTACTGTCAATACCTTCCAATATTTGACTTAATCACCAATTTCAGATACCAATGGTGTACAACTTCCTAAGACGACTGTGTAAGAGTACACTCCCTCGACATGCATTCACATGCCAGACATAATAAAACCAGGGTATAATTTATGTACACATTAATTTAATATCACTATAGTCACCGCGGCTCAAGTAGTAGCGTCCGCGACTTGGAGGTGTCAGGTCCAGGGTTAGCACCCCGTCACGGTCTGAGATTAGGAAGGGTATGCACTCAGGGTAACGATTACATCTGCCAAAACAAGTCCTTCGCAAGAAGGCAACCGTCCTAGCCCTTGGTAGAAAAAGGAGTCCGTAACGTAAAACCGGAACATTAATTTAATATCACTATATGTGTTTGGTCTCAGAGCAAAACGATATTATAGTAGGTTCCTATAAATAGTACTACTCTATTCACGGTAGTTCCAGTGAAGTACATTTCTACTGCTAATTTTGATTACTGTTTACATAAATGTTAAGTACCTATCATATAGTTAGTAATCTGTCTGTACTATATATTACATCTGCGAAAAAGTATTGAAATTCTTATAAAACATGCTGTCCCCTGCATTGCCTAGTATAAGATAGTTTCTAAGCCATTTTAAACAACATCATAAAAATTCTCTAATTCATCCATTTGCAATTTGATAACTGTGGAGAAATTTAACTGGATTCCAATCATCCAATCACATACATTCCGCAATCCAAAAAACCTGGATGCAAACTAACATATATTGTTCATAAACTATTTCCAAACTCAGTTTTTTTTTTTATTTTCTGTCTCAGAGTTTAAAAGTTAGTAATATACTTTTACTCATCAGTGACATACACAAAGCGAAAGTGATTCCAATCATGACAAAAAAATCCAGTCACTGGATTCCAGAATGCAACTGAGAATTATGTCTGTTCAGAGGCAAAAATCAGATTCTAGTGACTTTCAGTCATGCGAATTAGTGGTATTGAATTATTTCTTCTGGTGTTAATTATAACATCAGACACAATTTTAAAACGATAATAAAGTATAAAATATAATGAAAAATTATAAAAAAAAACTAGTTGAACCGACATTTGCTAACAAAGTAATTTCGATGCAATTGTGATCACAATCAATTGTAAATACTCTTTAAATTGATAAGCTCTCTCTCTCTCTCTCTCTCTCTCTCTCTCTCTCTCTCTCTCTCTCTCTCTCTCTCTCTCTCTCTCTCCTCCTCCTCCTCCTCCTCCTCCACCTCCTCCTCCTCCTCCTCCTCCTCCTCCTCCTCCTCCTCCTCCTCCTCCTCCTCCTCCTTGGTGTAAGTTATAAGGATTTTAGCTGTATAGAAGAAACACTGTGAACGTAGCCAGACTACCCAACGTTTTTTTTTTATATTGTAATGGCTACTCGCAACGTTTCTAAAGCAAACGTTAATTGACGAATTGGTTGATTTCCTCACACGCGGACACAAGTCCACTCTATTATAGGAAATTCACACCAATTCTAGCAATCAATATAGCAATGGAAACGATATAAGATTTAGTGAATTTCAATACTTGATATTGAGAGAAAATAATTTCAAAAAACGATACCCCCTCTATCCCCACACCAAAAATAAATACCCCCTCTATCCCCCACCAAAAAAATACCCCCCTATCCCCCACCTAAAAAAAATCTATCGATGAACTGATAAACCTCAGTAGCTAATCAAGCGTAAATGAAACTGGTAATGATTATGTAATGATTAGATTCGCTATTGGCAAAATACAACTTCCTCTAACAAACATTTCATTATACCTCTCTCTCACTCACCCTCTAACTTTCACTCACTCACTCACTCACTCACTCGCTCACTCACTCACTCACTCACACACTCGCTCGCTCGCTCGCTCACTCACTCACTCACACTCACTCACTCACTCCCTCACACTTACTCACTCGCTCGCTCGCTCGCTCACTCACTCACTCTCGCTCACTCACTCGCCCACTCACTCACACTCACTCACTCACTCACACTCACTCACTCACACTTACTCCCTCGCTCCCTCGCTCGCTCACTCACTCACACTCACTCACTCGCTCGCTCATTCACTCACTCTCTTTCCAAAGACAATGCACAATCACTAAATACCCGCCATATTGGGTAAAAAAAAACTGCTACCACTCTCAGTTACCATTACTGTTTTTGCTCCTCATATATATACCTTTCTCTTCACTTTTTATTTTATTTTTTTTTTTGTGCCTGATTAACAACTACGTGTTTTATCTCTTCTCCGACCCTCCCTTTATGAACATTCTCTTTTTTAATTATTATTATTATTATTATTATTATTATTATTATTATTATTATTATTATTATTATTATTATTGTTATTATTATTATTATTATTATTATTATTATTACTATTGTTATTGTTATTATTATTATTATTATTATTATTATTATTATTATTATTATTATTATTATTATATTTTTTTTTTATTATCATTATTATTATTATTATTATTATTATTATTATTATTATTATTATTATTATTATTATTATCATTATTATTATCATTATTATTATTATTATTATTATTATTATTACTATTATTATTATTATTGTTGTTGTTGTTGTTGTTGTTGGTGTTGGTGTTATTGCTGTTGTTGTTATTTACTGTTTTAAATTTCTTACATTCTATATCTTTTTGTAGTGGCACTGTGCCTGTCAGAATTATGACCTAACATACGTGCGCATATCCACCAACAATTAATAACTAATAAGCTCATAATAAACTAAGAGACATCATAAATGAAACAATTTCTAAGAATGCAAATACATTTTTGTGTATATTCCAAATACTGCTCTCTCTCTCTCTCTCTCTCTCTCTCTCTCTCTCTCTCTCTCTCTCTCTCTCTCTCTCTCTCTCTATCTATCTATCTATCTATCTATCTATCTATCTATCTATTTATCTATCTATCTATCTATCTATCTATCTATCTATCTATCTATCCATCCATCCATCTATCCATCTATCCATCCATCCATCCATCTATCTATCTATCTATCTATCTATCTATCTACCTATCTATCTATCTATCTATCTATCTATCTATCTATCTATCTATCTAAAAGTCGTCCTCCGCAAACGTTATTTCTAGCTTCTTATACTTCATCAGTTCCCCAAATCTGGTTACTGTGGCTCTCTCCCCCCTAAAACACCTGTATAGCCTACTGATCAAGTTTATTTTTATAATTAATAACATATTTCCGTTGCAGTATTTAAGACTATCGGTCAAAATGTAGCCATATAATAACCAACTAATTTCTGCTTCTAGGCTGTGACTCAAGAGCGTCGACGATATGGTTTTATTCTAGAGCGCCAGTGTTCTTTGGCCAAGCACTACTTAGCATACCATACAAAGGGCTCACATCTCCTCCAGCACAATCTCGATAACTGGCAGGATATCTCTAAGACTCGTGAAGCCCTCCCAGACAGAATCCAGGCCATGTTACCATCTTCCAAACCAAAAGTGAGTCTTTAGTTTAGTCTCATGAGAAATCAAGTTTACGCCGAATTTTCTAGTGGTTTTCTAGCCTGTACTTTTGCTGACCAGGAGGAAAGTTAAGCTACATTCCTGGTAATGATGGTGATATATTTCAGTTCTCGAGAGAGTTTTCGTGTTGCTCTTACACCCTCCAGGGCGAACAAGGGTTTTTTTTAAAGTGGATTTCCTTGTTTGTGCTCATAATGACGTTTTGTGGCAGTGTATTCCATTATCGATTTTCAATCAGGAAAAAAAATCATTGTTATTGTATAAAATGTTTTCTTGCCAAATCCACGAAAACGAAATTGCATTTTTGCTCAATTTACTCATGACAAAAATTAATTAATTTTTCCTAATAATTTGTAGGACGAAGTCATCTACTCCAGTCCTATGTGCCTAGACGACGACAACATGTCAGTGACATCGCAGATGAGGAAAGCCAGATCAGTAGA